AGTCTGATCAGTTGGCAGTTCTTTCTGTTTTAGCTCCTCCCACATGCCAAAGCGCACCATTACATGCAGCCGGCTGGTTAGGAATTGTTCGAGCCAGTCAGCCATTGGTGGGGACTGGATACGCAGGACTTCCTCAGGAACAGTGGCTTCCATGCGTGTCACTGCGTCAAGAGCCATTTGAGATTTTCCGGCGAACATGGCTGCGTAGATCAAGGAATGGTAGTCGTGCATACGGTAGAAGGTGTAGAAGTTGGCAGCACCTGCTTTGCGGAAGTATTTGTCGTCTGCAATAGTCGAGTTATAGTTAGAAGCAATGGAACGCCTCCAGTCTCCGATGAGGATGTCCAGATGGGTAGGCATATGGTGGATATGACCGGCATCCGGGACAAGGTCACGAAGATTATCGGCTGCATTTATGCCCAGTTCCGGGGTAGGTGACATCTCGATATAATGAATGTAAAGATGAAGCAGGCCGGGATGGAGATCCGCATTCTCATAAGTGAGCGCTCGGTCCAGAACGGCTTTCACTTCCATCGTGGGCGCATTAGAATTCGGCTTTCCAGTGAAAAGGTCCCACATAGCCCACGGAGTCATATTCATCAGCGCATCTGCATAGAGCGTGGCGACGTCGATATCATCCCCGAAAGCATCGTAAACTAGCTTCATGGCGGCGGCGTAGCTCTTGTTGATGGTCGGGTAATCGTTAGGCGGGGTGTCGGCGACGAAACGAGATTGAATTGCATCGATGAGAGCCTTCTCGAGGGGTGTTGCGTTCCCCGCATGTTCCATGGCCTTTTTTGCGGCATAAAATCCTCGTTTTACACAGGCATGCAAGTCTCTCTCATCGAACCTCTCCCAGGGCTTGTTGTAGTTTGGACCTACAGCATAGGCGAGCCCCCAGTATGCCATTGCACATGTCGGATCATTTGCAATGGCCTGTTCGAAGCAATATGCCCCTTCTACGTGATTGAAGGCGTAGACCCATGTTAGACCCCGGTTGAACCAGGTCTGGGTGTCGGCGCTGGTAGTGCTGATAACGTGCCCATAGGAGCCAAGGTCGTAGTACTCCTCGCTTGCTGGGATGGCTTGGACTATTTCTGTAGTCATTTTGCAATGCCTTCCAGGATCATTGAAAGGGAGACTGAACAAAGAAATATCTGCTAGAGAAGACGTCACGATAGATGGGCGGATGAATCGGTCATTTTAGATCTAAATACGAAGAGTACAGCGTTTGTCAAAGGAGGGGGCAAGTGGGTCCCCGGAAAGGCCGAGAGTGGCGCAATCAGTACGATGCTTGACTAATACCCGTTTCATTCGCCGAACTTCAGACGCCGAAACATCCAACTCTCCTTTCTCCCCCAAACCGAGTGATATCTGCATTCTTCCTTGATATACTGACCTGAAGTGATATCCGGATTCAAGAAAAACAGCGTTTAATTATAGAGATACAAGGAGATAGGAGAGAAAATATATGCCTTCCACTTCTCGACCGGTGAAGGTGGCGTGTCTGGCCTGGTAAGTTGACGCCGAGTGATGAATCCACGGGGATTGATGCAAGGGACCAGAATCTAACATGAACAGTCGAGCCTCCAAAATTCGATGTGACGGGCAAAATCCATGCGCTAATGTAAGTCAACTGTATTTCCAAATTAATAATCGATCTCTAGTAACCCGGTGTAGTGCACTATCCATCGACAAGAATGCCGGTATCAACCCAGTCGGCGAGGGGGTGCTCGACGGGGCCCTGTTGCCGCCGAGGAGCGGGCCATGAAAAAGGCCCAACGACTGCAAACTGCAACCAGGGTCAATAATCATGCCGTGACAAATGATGATTTTACTCCGGCTCAGATATTGCAGATCAATGCAGCCACCCCGGTTTCTCTTCCATCTCCGTCTCCGATTGAAACCGGATCCCGACTATCCGTTACGTTTCAGGGAAAAGACAGCCCGGGATTTCCGTTATCGCCTAGAGGCCCTAGAACCGGTCAGGAGCTTCGGGAGACTGTGGGCCATCCGACACAAAGCCTCCGTGCTTATCGGTGTGATCAGGATTTGTATGTCGTACCCATGCAATATCCCACCGGACCTTAACTGACAGATCCTTGTCCGATCGTACCCTAGGATCAATGCTTACTACATCTTCATACATCCATACCTCCCTCTACTACCCCCACCGGCTGTGTCCCAGTATGTGGACAAGCCTGTGGCTCTGAGTATGCGGTCGGCCCATGTAGATGCATCTCATCTGCCTTACTGGCCGACTACCTCACTGGGCTTGGCTGTGGCAGCAATACTGACACTGATACCCCTACCGGGTGATGCGCGCGCGACGGAGAATGAGGCTGTCACCTTGCGACGCTCTTACGCCGATTATTTTGCACGCTCAGCGCTAGATGTATCAGAAGAATCTCTCCAGCCGTCTTCCAATTCCGATCTCACGCAGGGCCCATGCAGCCCCTTGCATCCGGAGATTCCCCGGCAAATGGAGCCGGTCCTGGCATTAGCGCTTCTCAGCCTATACGAATGCTGCCAGCGAGGAAATGTCTCCAAGATGCGCATCCGAGCCAATCAGGCATTAACCATGGCTATGGATCTATCGTTACATACGCAGAAGTCTGCGAATAACTGTTCCGACGCGATCCGTCGTTGTTGGTGGTCGACGGTATGTCACATGTGTTCTCTCATCCATAGCCCAGAAGTTTATGTTAACTGTCGCAGATGTTCCTCGTTTATCAGTCTTCTATATTGACAGCTTCGGTCTGTTCGCAACTTTCAAATCGCGTAGACATGACCTGGCTAACCCCGCAATATACTAGGTACCCCTCATTACAAGCGATGACTTCCGCATTACCACGCCTTACATAGTAATTCGTGGTTGTCGAGAGGTGCGCAACTCCCTTCCTCTTGACGTCCATGTCTTCTAACAAGCCTCAGCCATGGCCCTACATCTTACAAGCACAATGCCTCCTTCACCGCAGCTGCACCATCACCCGCGAGTTCTCCCACGAAACCACCCATGATCAAGGGTGTCTTCCCTGTTCATTCCACAACGAACTCAAACACCTTGACTCTTCTCTTCTCGATATAGCCACCGAAACAGACCGCTACCGCTGCATAGCTAATTGCCAAGGCACGGAAGCCGACGCGGAGCGCGTGCTCTGGGCAATATCGCGCGTCCTAATTCACACGGCTAGATTGCTCATCCATAGAGTTCGCGCTTTCCCTGACCGTCCTGCCGATAGCTTTACGACTACTTCCAACAGCAGTACTAGCGGAACTAGCACCCCCCTCTCTCCGTCCCGAAGAGCTGAAATCGATGCCATAATGCCATTTGATGAGCAAGAATCCATGCGTGTCTGCATTCGCTCTGCGCTGTTGATCTCTCGAATTTTCCGTCACCTGCCTACACCGAATCCGATGTACTCTGATACTCCTGCCGATGGAGAGACCTTTGGATATGGATTCGGGCTCGGACTTAGTAGTGGAGAGTCGAGGCGATCGCTGAATTCACCACGCTCTCTACCTTACATGGCCTGGTGTGGGATGCAGAGCTTCTATGTACTTGCCATGGTGTTGTGGCGCGTGCGGGCGGCCTTGTCCGCGGGTAATTTGAGCAGTATCTATAATCTGTTAGATCGGCCGACTGAGCGGACGGCGATACAGGATGCAGAAAGGCTCGAGGAGGAGTTACACATGGGGATTGAGTCGCTGAGAGTGTCAATGAAAGCGGATGGGGTATATGAGGGTGTCGGGAAGATGGTTAGGGAGTTGGAAAGCGCATATGATGCTACCATGATGGGGTGATCATGGTATCGGAGAGCGGAGTTGATTTTCAGCCTGGGCAAAGACCAGTTATGGAATAAATCAGACTAAACCTGGAACGGTCAACCTTTTGGGTCAATCTGAACCAGGGCATATCTCGGTTTTCTGTGCGGGGTACAACAATGCGTGACCAATCGGCGTTTGACGGAGTGAGCTTTCGTATTTCGGCGGAAACGGTATCCCCACCTCGGCGTCTGAACTCAACCATTCGGAGTAAAGTCGGGTTGAGCGCTATTTTATGTTGACGCAGATTGTATCGACGTTTATTGGCCAGCTATCGATATTAATTAAAATAGACCAAATGGCGCATTTGCTAGCACATATTAGGCGTCGTTGTAGGAGGACGCGCGGGCTACGATGATTGAAAACCGAGTGGAGGACTGAATAGCATGGCGATCCACTGCATCTCGTGCCCTGATACCTGTGAAGCATGCTGAACATGCCCGGCCGAATGGAGAACAAGTCTCTGGAAAATCTATACAAGAAACATAGTTCTTACTGATAGGCCTATAACACTTATCTGTGACAATTTCAAACCTGGAATGTTAAATGATGATACCCTGGACCCGAATTGGAAGCTGCTATTCTTACTAGTAATAAATGTTACCCAATTTGCAGCCAATTGGATGATTTTCCTAATCATAGACGAAGTACGAGATAGTATTAACAGTTATGGCCTAAGCCAACTTATTTAGTGGTGATTCTTACGTGAATCTCTATCTGCTGTCCAGTTTATATATTAATCAGGCTATATGGCTATCGATCTACGTATAAATGGTTTTTACTGTGATTTCAGGTTTCTCTATTGGCACAATACCGTTGTGGGTAGTCGGCAGCTATTCTTTCGAAAGCTTATGACTAGTTAAATATATTTGAGCGTGGTATTTCCTCTGCAGACACAGTTTCACCCACCGGAACTTGTACAAAAATGATCAACAATTGAATACGATCAAATAAGTGGATATGAATATAATACTATATAAAAAGACCATCCTTACGGTACTACTAGAAAGAAGTAGAGTACAGGAAGGCAATGTGGAAAATGATAATACAAGTGGGACTAAATCCATGTAAAGGCCATACGCCAAGCTAAACCTCTAATCATCCATCAGCCATTTCCGCAAAGTATCCTCTCACCATCTGTCCCCTCTGCCATAGAACCTACATGGAATAACCAGTTACGCGAACTCAAGAATCGGAGTAGTGCCAACCCTTCCTCTATCAGGCATACAGTCACCCCATCCTGGACCGTCGTGACACGAAGTAATAGACTTCGCCGCACGCTTCCCTTCATAGTACGCACCATGCAGAAAGCCCGAGAAGTTTGGGCTTGTAGCCTCTCCAGCAAAGAAAACCCGCCCAACATTCGCTCGGAGATTCCGATGGGTCTGGGCAGATACTGCGGGTGGCCAGTTCGAGTACGAGCCGTACGACCTGAACAGTTAGCATAAAACACTCCAGCCAAATAGCTAAGGAAGGGTCCTACCAAGGCATTTGCGTCCACCTCGCATAGAAAATGCCTATCGGTTCCGGGATGGTCTCGTCCCCAAAGATCTTGCGCAACACTTCCATAATCTCAGCTTGGGTCTTGTCCTCGCTTTGCCGCTCAACCCGATACGCCTGGTCGTTGACAACTGTAACGACGAGGATATTCGATCCCTCCAGCACCCCGGGAACATCCAATGGCTGAAACAGCGGATAGTAGCCTCTAGTATTCGGGTCGGCGTAGTACAGATACTGGTTCTTGGGCCAGAAGGAATGCGGAAATTGCATGAATATTTTGGTATACGTGACCATTTCGAAGCTCGTAATAGCATCTTTCTTCCACCTTGGTAGCTCGGGTGTAAACTTCACAGCTTCAGGATGCTGCAGCACACCCAAAGAAAATGTCATAATAGCGTACTTGGCTCGCACACATTTCCCATCCGTGCTATGTACTGTCACGGAGTCATCGTCGTGCTCAATTTCTTTAACGATGGTGTTTTTCCGAAGGCGCCAAGCATTCTGTCCTTCGAAGAGTGGATCTGCTACATTCCTGAGGATGATGGAGAACCCACGCTGATCGAAGCTGAACTCCTCTCGGTGAGAGAAGAACTTGGCCGTCGCATTTGTGGTTACTGCGGTATAGATCTCGGAAGTTTCTTTTGCCTTGGCTGCTGTGACCGAGTCAAATGCCAGATAGTCGGCCAGTTGCTCGTACTGATTTGTCTCTTTCGGGTTCCATCCCTGCCGCCGAAGGGCCGCGCGGTATGTACGGTCTTCTAGGTGGTGGTGAAGTCGGATGCCAGCGTCGGCGAGGACCTTGGAGTCGGCATCGCTGACAGCTTTCAGTGCGTTGAAAAGGAGCTCGGGTGGTATTTCTCCCGTCTGGTCGTATACCGTGGCATTCTCGACATCACTGGTTCTGGTGTACGTTAGTCGGCTGTGTAGTATTCAGTATTGGTGAGGGAGAACATACAGTGTGCGGAGGTTGGCTTTAATAGCCTGTCTTAACTGTCAGTCATACTCTTTGCTAGAATGATGCGTTCTCGTGGATCCTACCAAGTCCCAGATGGGATTCACGTGTGTTTCGGGTCCACCAGTTCCGTGTACCTGGCACCCATGTTAGTTTTACACCTCTCAATAAGGGATCGAAGAATAGCAGCACACCCAATTAGCCCCAGCCTCCACTACATATTGTTGCCCTTTGCCAAAGGTAACCTCGTGCATCCGCCCACCAATACGGTCCTGATACTCTAGTACGATAAAATCTTCGACACCGTTCTTGTGCAGTGTTTCCTGCGATCATCAGCATGGCCCCACAAAAGTTGCAACTCGAGCATACTGCAGCAGTCACGCCCGCCACACCGGCACCTCTTCAGAACGTCAGCTCGAATGGTAGAAACCTTCAATTCTCGATGGATAGAGAGCCTTACAATATGACCACCTCAGTTTCCGTACACGTTCTAGCATTTCCTACTACCGCGAAGGCAGTGAGGGTTGCTGCTATTCTGGCGAATCTCATGGCTTACTACTGCTTTGGTTGGACTCGGTGGCCGCCATCACCTGAGGGGGTATACCACATTTTTATACAGTGATTGGAGTTTGACTTTCATTCTTTAATTTCTATTGATCCATACTGTGTAACATTCATGAAGAATAATGCTATTTGTTTGGCCAAAGCTATGCAGAACCTTGCGTATTCTGGGGTTGTGTTCAGAATCTGGCATTTATGCGAAAGGGATGCAGGGCCAGGAATCACGAACGCGTCGCGTATGCATGTTGCCGTTTCTATATGTAGATGACAATCAAATAGAGCCATGAACTTTTACGAATATTTACTAAACGGTGATTTGGTTTGTATTTGCATCCTCAGTGGTGAAAACTTGGAATAGCCTACAGGTCTCTTACGGAGGACGACTGCGTACAAAGTCCACATGAAAACTCCATTTGTAGGGTCTTTATCGCCTCGGTACATACACTTCCTGATACAGAAGGCGGTATGGACTTTTCTTGAAAAATTTGCTCATCAAACCAGGCTAAAGCCGGAAAAGAAAGCGAAGAGATAGAGTCGATATTTGAGAAGCAAAGAGTACGTCTTACCTAAAATACGAGTTCAATTGTCTTCCAGCTCCTTGTTGAACTACTAATCCTTTAAATCCTTCCAATCCTCCGGGCCTCGGGTTCGGCGACTTTTGAGTCTCGTCACCGGGGGAAATTCTGCTTGTAGTATTTGTAATCATGCCATCACCTCCGCACCAGGTTTCGAACTTTCGAATCTTCTTTTCCTTCTTCTTTTACTGCACTTATCTTCTTAGATTATTTTAGATCCTGGCACTAGATCCCCGATCAGTTATTATCTTATCAAAGTCAACATGGCCTCGTCATCTGTCTCCCTTAAGGCCTCGGCCTTTTCATTCGTTGTTCTGTCGGTCGGGCACACGGTATGTCAGCTCTAGCTCCTAGGAAACTAGCTAGTAACCCATGGCGTCATCGACCCCCTACATCTACATGAGCTCCAATGGCCACAATAACGAGTTTACAAAGTTCCTACTATTCAATTGATAGACACTTGTCCACTTATATCATCTATTAATACAGTCATGTGCTAACAAATAATGACCAGCTCGGAGGAACCCAATGGACCGCCGAACCAGCCTATCGCACCATCGCTGGCACCAAGCCCTGGGCTCTCGGCATTGTCGGCTGGTTCCAGGTAATTCATCCACCACCCTTCATAGCAATTCGCAAGGCAACCATAGATACTAACAATACCTCTAGGGAAGCGCCTTTTTGTTCACGACCGGTAAGTGTTCTCTAATTAACTCCAAAGGAAAAAAATCAACTAATAATTCTTATAGGCATCCTCCATTACCAATGGGCCCGCAACCCCCGAGCCCTCCAGGAACCTACTAACAAGGCCATCGCTATCATTCTCAATGCGGCGCTGTGGGCTAGCTCGGCATGGTATTTCAAGCATGGCATCAATGAGAATGGATGGGCTGTCGGGGCTGCGGCTGCGTGGCAGGCTTGGTCGGTTGTGAGGGCTTGGTTGAAATATTAGATTTTGGGTTAGATGATATATAATATATGGGGGTAGAGTAGTAGATTTGACTGAAGAATATTACTCGCATTTAGTATCGTTAGACATTCAAAGCTCATTATTACATCAATAATCACCCGCTACCACCCTCTCCCCGACTCTCAGCCTTCGACACATTATCCTCTCCATGCCCTGCAAGCACCCTCCGGATCATATCCTCTCTCTCCTCCAACGTTTGCAAATACTGCAGCCGCTCTCTACTCCTCGCCACTCTAGCTAATTCCTCCTGTAGCTCTGATGAACTCATCCTTTCGTACGCTACTACTGATGCTGTCGACTCCCCGTCTCGAACGCCATCAGAAGATAGCTCAGCCGGCGCTTCACCCAACGTAGCCGAGGCTGACGATGCGACCTCACCACCCACAGCACCCTGCTTAGCATTTATTCCATCTACACTGACAGCTCCAGATTCAACCCGTGCATCATCCCGCCTCGGCCTTCGAACGGACCCAGTACTAAGCTCAAATACAGGCCGATCCGCCGAGTTATGTACAGGCCGACTATCGGACTCGTTGAGTGGTGCGCCGTCGATCTCGGGGAGTACAGTCGTAATATTCTGAGTCAAACTCTGACCCTTCCCTTCCGCATGCTGTATCGTTGTGGCCTGTCCGCTTTCCTCACTGGTACTGATATCACCAGCCTGTTGCTTCCTCTTCCTGCGCCTTTGAAACCAAGCAAATATTAGAAGCGCAATGATAGCAACGCCGATGGGTACCGCAACCCCAATCCCGGCCTTAGCCCCTGTAGACAAACCTCCCGCATTATTGCTATTAGATGAAGACGTTTGAGTTGCCACAGATGTCATGCGCATTGTTGAGACGAGGCGAGTTTCTGTAACTGTTACGACGTTGGGTTGTTCGGAAGTAGTTGTAGGTGTGTCGTCATCTGATGTCGTAGAGTCGGTTGCGGTACTGAAAATTGTTTGTGTTGTTGTGCCGACCTCGGACTCATCGGTCGTGGTAATGACCTCGGTGGTTAGTGGTAATGAAGTCTCGGTTGACGATGTTGATTGTGTGGAAGCGTAGATTGTTGTCACGATGGAGTAGATGGTCTGCGCATCGTTGATAAACTCGGCTCGGCGATCAAGGTTAACGTTTGCGGTCATGTAGTCTGGGAGGGTTGGGTGGATGTTGAAGAGGTTGCAGAGGGAGAGGAGGGAGTTGGGTGTTACTGTTTATTGTGGGTTAGGGCGTTGGTTGGTTGGCAGACGGGGAGGGTATACTGACGTCGCTGGTCGGGGTTGATGGGACATTGGTGGAAACATGATTGGAATTGTGTAGTTGCTGCTATAATAGATAGGCTGGTGCACAAGCATGCGTAGTCGGTATGTGAGCAGGTGGATAGAATCTGGGGATAAAGGCAGTTTAACTAGGATGATGAAAATTAGTGGGAGGTAGGGGATGCGGATCGGGATCAGTACTGAGCAGCGGGGGATATCGCGGAACTTGTGAGCGACGAGGTGGCTTCTAGAGGTAGCGTCGTCAGACAGTGAATATTGTGTGTTGATTGAGAAGAGTTGTCGTATAGCTTGTTGCAGGTTCATGGTGGCTTGCAAAGGATGCGCCCTGCATGCTGTAACCGGTGGGTAAACGAAGCCTGTGGCGTCGGGGTTCGGAAAGAAGTTGGGGAATTACGGGGGACCACCCCCATTATCTATGAAGACTGGCTGGGGAAATGTTTTGAGTTGTCCTGGCACCGTGCAGGGGACCAGCGGCCAGTGCCCAGACTGATCATCGTGTGTGGTGAATGGGTATCTTGAGTTAGGTCCTTACTTCCCCACCCACTGCCATCCCCCCCATAATATAGTATCGTTTGCTGAATTATGACTCACACTGCTCGAGGTACAACCGTCATTATAAGCGTATCCAATACCAAGTTGACAAAATCCAATGTTCAAACAGCTGGAAAAGAACTGTGGGATTCCCAGGTGTGGAATGTCTTGGCCGATGTTTTGGTCTCAGAATCGCCGACATGGAGTAGCCACGAGCACGCCAGCTGCACGCCGCCGGGAAACTTCAATGTAGTCTAACATACAATAGGCAGAGGGAAGCAGCTAAATGCAGCTGGTGACCAGGGTTATAGGACTCTGATTAAGCTCATTGGTGAGCCGGGAATCAATGCTCGGCGCTAGCCGAAGCCAGCGCATGGCGGTTCCTTATCTATCCGTGGATCTCTCGGTTGGGAGCCGATCAGCGTTATTCAATAATGAGTATGTCGGTGCTTACACGGACTGGATTGCCCTAGTTATGTATTTATGACTACATGAGACTTTCCATAGTGGAAGTGTATACAATATCTTGAGGGTCGTATTATCCATATCCTGTCACAATCATGCCGCCGTTCCTCCCGTCCGGACCTTCCGCGGACTCTCCGAACAACAAATCTCCGTCTCACCCTAATAGCTATAAAACCCACACAATCCCATGGTTTTTACTACAGAAACAAAAAGTTCATAAAGTTCGTATCACTGGTTCACATTAACAATGTCCTCCCCAACCGTCCTAATAATCGGTTGCGGCATCGCCGGCCCCGTCCTCGCCATCCTCCTAAAGCGCAAAGGCTACAACCCTATCGTCTTCGAAAAGGTTCAGGCTCTCGGCGATGCCGGTGCATCATTGATGATACAGCCAAACGGGTAAATATTCTTTAGTTTTTACCACCCCAATCTTTACGACATCTCATCCACTGACAAAAACATTACAGAATGAAAATACTCAACCTCATTACCCCCAATCACCCGCTCCCAACCATAACACCCCTCCAATCCCTCTGGCACGGGACAGCGTCCGGCAAAACACTCGGCCACTCTACTCTCCCGTCAACCTACATTGACCGCTACACCCAGCCCGCAAGTGGAATAAAGCGCAGCGTACTCAATCTCCACTTGAAGACCACTCTCCAGAAACATGGTATCCCACTATACGAAGGATACCAGCTCGAGAGCATCCACGAACACGTGCACCAAGTAATCGCATCTTTCACCAACGGAGAATCAGTCACAGGCTCATTCCTCATCGGCTGCGACGGAATCAAATCATCAACGAGAAAACTCCTCCTCTCCCAGAAAGCAGGAATAGCCGAAGGCCCACCTACATTCACCGGGTTGGTTCAGGTAGCGGGAATATCAAAGACCCCTCAGTCCATGGCTGACAAAGTTATTTCCCTGAGTAACTGGTATGGCGAGGGCGTGCACGTTGTCGCATATCCTATCTCTACTGAGGATATTTCCTGGGCGGTTACTATCCCAGATACAGAGGGTGAGGATAGTACGTGGCGGGCTGCTACTGCTGGAACCGAGCTGGAATCTCTACGAGGGAAGCTGAGAGTGAGATTATCTGGCTTTGAAGACTGCATTTTGGAAATGGTAAACACCGCAGATCGGATCATCTCGTATGGTCTGTTTGACCGACGGGAGGTTCCTG